GGTATTCCAGAAATGCAGAATCATGCCGCGGCAGCCAATGGCGAATCAATTCAACACCATCACAGCTCAAGGGAAGAAAGACCTGAATGAGAACACCGGCATTTCCATTCAGAAGTGTACCATTACCCCGTTTGATAACGTCACCGCCGATACTTACCTCGGGCGGCCGTGGAAAGAGTATTCCACCACCGTCATCATGCAATCCATCATTGATGGCTTCTTGAAGCCGGAAGGATGGATCGCGTGGGTCACCGGCGTTCTACCGCCAGCCACTATTTATTACGCTGAGTATCAGAACAGAGGCCTGGGCGCAAGTGTGGGCCGAAGGGTGAAATGGGCCGGGTATAGGCACAGTCTCACACCGGAAGAGGCTGAGAAATACACTGTCCAAAATTTCTTAGAAGGGCAAGTTTGGATGCCGGTTGGGGTCAGTCATGACCCGTCTCTATAACTGCTTATAATTAAAATACAAAAAATAAGTACTTTGTCTTATGTTTTGTATGTTTTTTTTTTGCAGTATACGGATGGACTAGTATACACTATACACGTTATCATTTTCTTGTGTTATTATTAACCCAAAATGGAATCTCATCATCACCTATTACCGCGTAATATTGAATTAAAATGTGATGCTACAGTATTTTTTATGTCTGAAATATTTAATTGTAATACTGTAATCGTTCCGTTGAACAAGGTATGGTACCTTGATATATTGTAGAATTTGCTTTATTGTTATTTCTCTTAGAAGAAATGTGATTGTTTGACATTTACATATACTTAAGTTTCGTTCTCCTTTTCTTTTCTCAAAAAAAAAGTTTCGTTCTCCTTTCTCTGCCGAAATATGTATGGTCCATTTGTCCCATTTCATGTGTGTTTGAAAAACAATGTACACTTTGTGTATGTAAAAGAAAAAATAGCATGCCGGGAATTATGTAATTAATACTCCGTATATTATATTTCTAAGATACTTTCTAAATTTGTATTCTCGTCCTGCAATCACGTTCTACAGTACTCTCAAAGTAACTTATAGACTTACCTATGTGAATCAATTAGAATATTATAATTGAACCATTTAAATATCAATAAATGATGAGACAATGACTTGAATTAGTCGAATCTCTTGTAGGTATGAATGTATGATGCTCTCATTTATTTTTGCAATAACCGTAACACTTACTTTCTTTTTATGGTAATCGTTTTTCAATTCAACATCGTTCTTTTCTTGCCGCTTCGTCTTTTTTCCATGGAGCCCAAATCATATCGTGAAGTTGTTTTGGGCCCGTAATAGTGTGATGCCATGAATAGATAAATTAAAGCTCTTGAACGTAATAGGACTTGGTTAGTCCAGTCTTTACCTCCCGAAAAGAAACTGGCCATTAGGTGCAAATGGGTCTACAAGATTATATACAAGAGTGATGAATCTAATGGGCAGATGGATAGGCTTGATTATCACGGACCTTTTTCCTGGTTTCTAAAATGGTAACCATTAGGACAATTTTGGTTGTAGTAGCTTCGAATGTTCACCAAATGAATCTTGATAATGCTCTTTTACATGAAGATCTCAACGAAGAGATTTATATGCATCCTCCTATAAGATTCATCACAAAACGAGCACGTGCAACATGTGCTTTGTTGTCTTTATGGATTTCGTCAAGCACTCCATTTTTTTTGGATGAAAGGGGCTTACATTGATAACACATCATTCAGATAGTAGGTAATCTGACAAAACAACTCATGACAACCGCCGTCCCTCGAACCAGACTCGGAGTTTATCGCCTCAGCAATATAACTCGCTGATCCATTAATGGGCACAAATGAGCCAAAGACGGTTACTGCAGTCATTCCATCACCCACATTCAAATCCAAAACCACAGTCTTACAATCGAAAGAGATAAAACAAGAAACAAACACAGACAAATTCAGATCATTAACATAAGTAAAAGCAGAAAAATAAATTTCTTCACTCAGCCTTCCAAGAACCACCGGCGGCGGTTCAGGAGGGGGTCGGATCGCCTTCACTTCATCTTCTTCCTTCATCGCCTTGATTGGCCCTTGAATCGCCTCCAGATGAATCTCCCTATCCACAAACGAATTGCCGGAAGACGGCACCGCTCTTCGCCAAAAGACGATAGCAGACAAATAAAACTCTAGCGGTGAAACCCTAGAGACAGGAAGTGAATTCACGACGATGCAGTCCTCCTGTTAAGACATGAGGTTCCATCCTAAAAGGTCAACCTAATAGGAGGAGGAGTCCATGTCTTGATATAGTACTTTGTTGATTCAACCTTTTCCGGTGTGAGATTTAACACCCCTCCTCACGACCAGACACTTCGTCTGGATCGTGCCGTCATTCATTTTTTTCGTCGGTTCGTCATTGCCATTTTTTATAATCGTGTCGTCATTTTTCATAAGGGGGCCCACACCATGGATCGATTTGTCTCTGATACCATGTTAAGATCCGGGGTTCCATCCTAAAAGGTCAACCTGTTAGGAGGAGTAGCCCGAATCTTAATATAGCACTCTAATGCTTCTCAATTTTCCGGTGTGGGACATTTAACACCTCCTCCTCCTACTCTTTGACCGACGAAATATCGATCTCCGCAGTCTTCATCTCCATGGCGAAGTTGTCCGCCTAAACCCTTAGCGGCAGCGGCGCTAATTGAAACTCAAGCACTCCATTTTTTGTTCTACAACCTTACGTGTGCACTTGAGCAGAATGGTTTTCATAGGTCTTATGTCAACTACTCACTCTTTACTCTTCACTGCAAATGAAAAAATCATGACATCAACCGGTCAGGGACCAACGAATGAAGATGGGTTGCAAAAGTTAGATTATTTCTGAATTACGGTAAGGTGAGACTATTGTAAGAATACCGCTAAAAGGTTGGATTATTAGTTTCCAATTTCCCTAAATAATATGGTACATCACTTTTTTGGAAAATTTTAAAATGTGTTATGTAATTGTCTTTTGGATTTATTTTAGGTTTATTCATAAAAAGGGTGGAAAGTAATCCGCAAAGAAATTGAATGATATGAAATTTAATTTTTGAAGGGCTTCAGGAGGGACTTAGCCAGAGCACTATACCACACTAAGTTAGTACAAAGATTTTTTAGATAAATCTTTACACGGAATTTTTTATACTAATAATTTAGACATTTTTTAAAACTTTGGTTGAGTCGGGGGCTACGTTTCCCTCCTCTAGCTCTGCCAGAGAGCTTTAGTTTACATGGATTTGTGTAACCTACAACTTTACAGGTAATATTAGAACTAGGGCGTGTTTGGTTGGATGGTTAAGAAGTGAGAACCAAAATTTTGATCAAACTTCAATTTATGCTTGGTAAATGAAAATAAAAGATGAATATTTTTCTTATTATTGGTAGAGTTAAATGGCTATATAGCTTAAATAAATATGAGAAGACAAGTTAATAATCCAAATTATGCTTTTTTAATTACATAGCACGTCTATATAGTTAATATGAGCTGGCAATCCGACATAATTATTGTTAGGCTATTTGTTTTATTTGTACAAATATACGACATAATCTAACTACATTTATCTAAAGTTACGTTGTACGGAGTATATAGCTATATACACCTCATTCAAAAAAAAGTTGTATATACACCAACATATTCCTTTGGGTAATCATCCGAACCCCACAAATAGGTTCACACAGTATTTCATTTGCATTCACCTTTACCACCATTATATACTTTTATTTCCTTAAATTCACTAGACATCCCCTATGTCCAACTATTTAAAATAAAAATTGGTTGTACGCATCAACAACAAAAATATTTGAAATCAATGGGACTGTCTGTTGACCCAAAAGAATATTTCCTAAGGTCATTTATTAGTTCATTGTCCTCATTTTCCACACATAAAATCATGTACATACTCTCAACGTTCTAATATTTGTTTATGATGTTCAATGTCATTTTTAACTTGTCATAACTATTCGCCAAGTCTTTGCTACTTCCTCTGTCCGACAAATCAAGTTCTCATTTTGATAAAGATACATGTTTGATTAGCCAATTTTTGTCATTGTATTGCTGTTTTTAAAGACCTTTTATGAGAATTTGTACATAATTTGAGAATATCTGTAACTTGAAAATGAGATACTAATTGCCTGATTGAGGAATTACTTTTTCATTAAGACTTCACTCCTTTTATCAAGATAATTACTACCTACTACAGTCTACAGACATGCCAACAAATGTAAGTACGTAAAGAGTTCCTCCTAATGCTTGTACATTTGATGATTTCTATGGTTATTTGTTTAATTGTCGAGTCAACTGAACAATTGACTTGGATATGAGTTCTAACCCCTTTTTAGTAAAGTTTTGGGTGAATGAATTATATTTAGTATATAGTCTTTACTCTTTACACTAAATTTATTCAAAGAAAAAAATTGTTGTGAATTTTTTTAGTATTAAGGGCCTGTTTGGTAGTGGCTGCAATAGCTGAAATTTCTGATTTGGCTTAAATGGCTGAAAGTTTTGAAGTGAAAGTGTTTGGTATTATTTTGGCTGAAGTGGCTGATTGAATGTGTAATTACCATAAAGGGTATTAATATTATTGCACCATTAAATAATGTGTCTAAGTGTTTCAATTACCAATTAAATAAAAAAATGTTGAAGGGGGTGGATACTATAATACGAAGTACTGTATATAATACTCGTATTTGTTGAAAGGCAGTGGCTTGAATCTAATATGCAGTACGAAGTGCACCCAGAAAATGATTTAGCTGTGCTTACAACCTTCCAGGGGTGTGTTTTAGTTAAAAACATGGATAAAAATGTCTTTTAATAGCTTAATAGTAGAAAAATAAATTTCAGCTGAAAAAGTAGCAATATACTTACTTTTTGAGCTGATCAGAAAAAACAGCCAGATCAGCCCATTGCATTAGTGTTTGGTTATTTTTATAGATTTTAAGGCTTATAAGCCAATTTCTAGTCCCCCAAACGGGCACTAAGTTTTGTAAATTGGTATTAATGAATAACTCCGTATTATTTTTCTGTCACCTCAAAAGGGGTGTTCTATGTCACTGGATATAAGTGCAAACTTCTAAATGAGATGCTTATTACAGGGGAAGGAAATACAAGTACAAGATGAATTGATACGATAAACATTATTAATGTTTTTCATGTTGACCATCTGGTGTGTTTCTTCACTCACTTTCTTCATCTGTTCTTCATGTTGCACATGAGCAGCAGCCCTCCATTCTTCGGCTTTTCGGTGAACGGTAGACATTCTCTTCATCAACTTCTCTTCCATCTTTGATCTCATCTTTTGAATTTTCACCTGCAATGTTTTTGTCACAATTGATTAGTTTATACATAATAATATAATTATTAAGATACAAAGTAATAATTATGTAAAAAATTATTATTACGATACATAGTAATTATTACCATCATTATTACTACGTATTATAATGATAATGGAAATAATGCTCCTTTGGCCCTTCACATGGGTTTGCATATTCCAAAGCAACTGTACATTATGAATGAGACTATAAAATGCTGACTTCTATTGCTTTCTTCCTGGAAATTCCTCCTCCTAAGCCTCTAATAAAGTATTTACTTTATTCTAAGCAGAACATGCATGTGAAAAGTCATACAAAAAATAGTGGTTTTTTATAGTGTAGAAGCATAGAAGGTAGTGGGGCTCGATGAAAACAGTCTATGAAAGTTGAATAATAATATCACATGCATAATCAACACTTTATGAAGTTAATGTATAATATAATCAATAATATATCACTTTCATCATTAACATAGATAACAACCCAATTAACTACAGTGTGTTTCGTAAAGGTAAAAGAAGACTGAAATGACAGAATAAGTTGAATTTGTTATGAGCAAGGAAATGGTTGGATGTGTTGAATATATTTAAAACCTCAAGTTTTTTAGATTGAGCTTCACTTCTAGCACTTTGGAGGTTCACCCAAGCTTGAATTTTGGCCAGTTCTCTCTTGTACCTGCTGAAACACCAACCATTAGATTTTCATACCGGGCAAGTAAAGAGAAAATGGTAAACTTTATCGCCAAAAAAATGGTAAACTAATAAGATTTTGGGTGGAATTGGCTAATAAATTAGATTCTATCTCAGTGTGATTTGGCCCAAGTACCATATGGCAGCCAAGTTGAGCGACCATAACTCAATCCTGAGTTCTATTATCCTCCCACCATAAAAAGATACAAAGTAAAAGATAGAAGATTAATTTAGTAAGACGTCATGAAATGTAATCAAGAGTCTGCCATGTATGTTTTATTAAATTGCTTTGCATTACGGCATACCAAATGCTACCTAGGAGTACGTAACGTATATGATTCTATTACCTTAGACAGTTCTTAGTCTTCATCTCCTCCTCCCATGGGTCCACTTTCGACCCAATGCCACACTCGTTATTAGTATTCATTTCAAAGTGTCTCAAACTCTTAGATACATCGTCTTCTTCCTCTTCTCTCGAGCTCCAATAATTTGATGTAACGGAAGCATGCTGAACATTCCCAACATGTAGCTTTGCTAAATGGTACTCTTGGAGTTGTACGATATCTAGTGTTGTGCTGGAGGAACTGGAGTCATTGGGTAGAGCCAATGGTCCGGATCTACTGGCAGGAGTGTTGTACCGAACGGGTGATAAGCTCTTGAACGGTGTGGGGCATCTTGAGGTGGTGGAGCTTCCCATAGGTGTCATTTCTGTCCCAATGTCTCTGTGGTTAATAGCCTCAAGAACCGTATCTGGTTGTGTTGTGTTGTTCTTCATGAATTTGATCCGACTCGTACAATTACCATCCCCAAATGGGAATAATCCTTCTTTTGTGCATTGTTCACTCATGTTTCCAAATAGGAACCCTTCTTTCATGGACCTAAAATCTGGAGATCTTATGGTTTCAACCTCACTTGTGCACTTATCTGCATTCTCACCACCAAAAAGACTCATCAATCAATAGAGGTCTCAAAGGTTACACATGAATTCTTGTTTATATAACTTTCAACCGTAGTACTACACCTTTTTTTATGGGGGAGGGGCGATGGGGAATATAGTGCAAGTCCTAGGACTGGTTTGTCTATAAGAAAATATTTTCATGGATAGTGTTTGCTGATTTCTCTTACAAGGCACTGGAAACAGCTATAGAGAAAACAAGAATTCATTTTTTAAAGTTTCAAGTTTCAAGTTTCCAAGAGAGTATAATGTAGGTCTTAGTCTCAATTTGGTAACCATTTTTCTGGTTTATCAACCTTAGCTCTTATCAGCCACATTTTATGAAGGGCTAATTCTTTTAGTTAACGCTCTTAATCATGTAATAATTAAAACAAGTAGGATTGAAATTGTCTTTCCCAAAGAATTAGGTGAAGAAAAATATAGTGTTTTCATATAATTCTTTCTTTATGTTATCAATAAAAAATACGGAGTATATTTTAGATAATAATTATTTCACAATTCAAAAAATGCAGCCTATTCAGCCACAACTTCATCGATTTAACATATTAAAGAGATTCAGTCGATGTTATTGTTACGAGATGAACTCTTAGACCGTTAGCCTGCTAGCTCCAATTTATTATAAGAAAATGTGTTACCAGATACTGTTTTCCTGATTTTTCTTGGTTTGGCACATGAAAATACCTATTCTGAAAAAGATATCATTATCTGATAGCAGTTTTAAGTTTCATGTTTTGTGAATCAAACATTTTACATAGAACAAATTACTTTCCTAGAAACAAACGAAGTTTTAGTTCTTGTTTGAAATGTCAAAATGGCAATGCATATCCGGGATCTTAAACCAAACAGCAGTCATCACATAGGCAATTGAAAGCTTCCTAAACTGGAAATTAAACAATCCCATTAAGATTCATATTTGGAGTAAAACTTCTGGGGATAACTAATGCATCAGAAGAAATGTTTACATGTATATAAGGCTATAATTTAAATTCAAAGAAAAAAGGCAAATAGGGCTTTACCTTTAACTATTTAAGAGAAATGGAAGAAAGAAGAAAGGTATTTTTTACCTTTAAGAAGTACACCTGATGTGGCAGAAGAGACTCCCTTGGAAGGTCCTGCAACCTTTTCATCACCTACCCTACAAATTTCAGGAAAGGCTTGTTTGGGGCAGAACCCACTACTACTACACTTTTGTTGTGTTGAGAATTTCAAAAACGGATTATGTTGAGCAACAGGGGATTCATGACTGCCGCCATTGACAACCCATTTCTCAGCATCATCCCACTTTGAAGGGACAGATTTTCTGGAAAAATTCCCAACACTGAAGCTGAAAATGGGCCTTCCCGGGGTTGAAGGGCCATCCGCCACATTCCTCTTCGTTCTTCCGGCCGAAATCTGGAGAAGCCTTCTGTTCTCTGGACCATTATTAACATTTGCAGTTGGGAATGACGTCACTAAATCAGAAGTTTCCTTGATATTAAGCTTGCAGAGAGGGTTAGGGTAAGAATCCAAAAATGGGTTCCCATCAAATTCCTACAGCACAATACTCAATTCAAATTAAACTGGAAGAACAACCAGAATAATAATAAAAATAGAGATAAATTGGGTGAGCATTGGTTTATAATATAATAACAGTAAGTAATTGAATAGAGAAAAGCTGGGGTTACTTACCATTTGAGATGGAAAGAGGGGTGGAGGAGCTTGAAGATCCATAGCTGAGAATTGGAATGCTATCCTTGTGAGCATCTAAAAGTAGTATGTGCAGCTAGGCTGAACAGGAGAAAAGTAGCAATGGCAGTGGGAGAAGAAAAGGAAATGAGAATTTAAAGTTGGTGGGAAAACCACAAGGGGAGAAGGTCCATTTGACTGTTGGAGCCCTTACTTCCTCAACATGCACTGCAGGACAAAAGAGCCTCAGTCTTGCTGCAAATTTCAAGCATTAGTCAGAGTGTGGTTAGAGTACCCAGCCACCTAGGGATATATCCACACTTGTATATACTCCCTTCGTCCCGTTGGAATGTTCCCGGTTTGACCTACACACATATTAAGAAAATAAACTTACCAGGGGGTAAATATTACTGTTTTGATACTGTTTGGACACTGTTTGGACATTGTTTGGCACTGTTTGGCACTGTTTTGCATTGTTTGACACTGTTTTGATGTAGGATAACTTTCCATTTAGGGAAATGAGAACTTCTTTTTGGGACATCCAAAAAAGGAAAGCGGGAACATTCCAACGGGACGGAGGGAGTAGGGGTGGGATTTTGGAACCGGGAACCGTAGAACCGATTGGAACCGAACCGTTAACAACATCTAGGAACCGAACCGTTAACAATTAATGCCTCATTTGTAGGAACCGAACCGAAGCGGGTTATAACGGTTCGGTTCCCGGTTCCTATAAAAAATATGTGCATGGAACCGTTAAGGAACCGTTATTAAAAAAATAAAAAATAAAATAATATTAGTAGTAGTAGTAGTAGTAATAGTAGTAGTAGTAGTAGTAACAATAATAATAATATAATAGCAATAAAAACCACCACCACAACCACTATAATAAAACAATATAAGATATTTAACTAACAATTCTAATTTAATCAACGGAAAAGAAGTAATAAATATTGTACATGAGGTTGATATAATACATTAAACTCCTTTCTACAAATCAAGTTTTGTTCCATCACATAAATTTTATAAATATAAAATAACTCAAATAACTTGTAGTTGATTGCACATATTTTACTTTACTATTTTCATGATATTTATAATTATTAGATTTATTATGAATCAATTGAATGTAATAATGTTTTTTTATATCTATACATGCAAACTTAATGTCTTTTTTTATGTTTTGAAAGACTTGAAGTAGGCGTCATATTCTTGCTACTATGATGATGAGTAACATTCATCGCTCTGACACTACAACGATTTTTAATGTTTCATTTATTACATGAAAATTTAAATCACTTTTGTTCTATTAAGTGTTCAAAGTTCATTAGTTAAGTTTGAGCTTTGAAGTTTGAAGTGATTATAGCTTCAAATAAAATTTTAATACTCGTGTTTTGAATTTTCGACGTGTTTATGTTGTTTGTAGAAAGTAAATTATGTGTTAATTCTTAGACGAGAAAAAATTATTCTAGGAACCGATAAAAGGAAGAACCGAACCGTTTACTACCGGTTCGGTTCCATAACGGTTCTTGATTTTTTATATAGGAACCGAACCGATTTGATTAGTTAAAACTTTTATAATGGTTCCACTCATTTTGAGTAAGAACCGAACCGGTCCCAGTCCTAGGAGGGAGTATATAACTAAAAGTAAAAGTGAAGGATAGAAATAATGAGAAACATTTTTCCAAAAAAAAAAAACAGTGAAAAACATTACACAAGATGAAAAAATCACTCTTTCTCACAATTAAATTCTAATTTTCTTTTTTTGGTATCTCAAAGTCTAAGTTTTGCTTCTCATTTTGTTAATATTTGATGGGCGGAATAAAAAGGTGGAAAGAAAATATTGAAAGTAAATGTATTTGAAAATCTTTATCTTATACGGAGTATTTGAAAAGGGTAAAAAGGTTTTAATTCAAAGACTGTCTTTAACACCTTCAGCCACTGGGCTTTCTTTTCGATTTTAGAGGCGACAATATCGAATAATAACTTCTTATGCAATGACTTTTAATATAAAAAAACAAGGACAGTCACTATCTCAAGTTGGACTCTCATTGCAGAAACTGATTTTTAGTTATGAACAACTATACATAGCTAACTCTAGGGTGATGAATCGTGCTGGTAAAAAAAAAAACTAATTAACTCTAATGACGATAGGTCAAAAGATGATACCTTAAAGATGGCAATTTCGGCCGACCCGTTGGATACCCGCACCGAACCGATTTGGTCAAACTGGGGAAAACCAGTTTGACTGTGGAATGGGTATGGGGCGGGGAATACCCGGATTTTTTAAATGGTTAATGGTGTGGTTATGGTTCTATACTAATCCGCCCCGTTCACTAATGGTGCGGGTACCCGCACCGTTACCCGATCTGTAACAATATTAATTAATTATAACTTTTTATATATAAGAATAATAAGTATATATGCTAAATTGTGAATACTAAATAGTATATATCATATAAATAATGCTAAAATGATACTACGTAGTACTTTTTAGGCCTAAAACTAAATATAGGTCTAAACCTGTTTTTGGAATTTGGATTCTGGGATGATTACTACCTTTTTATTATGTTACAAGAGATATTAGGTGCATGTCATACTAATGGATTTAGGCCAATCTGCTTGATTGCTTAAATATTTACTTTTGTATGTTTTAGGGTGCTTTGAATATATAAATAACAAGTAGGATTAGAAATTGGTTATTTGTTTTCCAAAAAAATGGTTATTTGGCATCATTTGGGAAAACAGTTACCCGTGGATAAATTGATTCCCCGTTGGGGCGGGTACGGTTCAAATAAAAATTACCCGAACGGGTAATGAGGCGGTTTTGGGGCAAACGTTTATCCAACGGGGGCGGTTTGGGTTTTATGTGTACCCGTCCCCAATCCGCCCCGTTGTCATCACTAGAGACCATGAATATAATGTAGTGTACAAAGAAGTTTTTCATAACTTATAATTATCCATGTATTCTATGCAATTCCGTTCTAGCAAATTGTCCCAATAATTCAATAATCAAACGGTTATATCATTTTGTTGTACTACGAAGGGCAAAATATCCTGATAAATCACTTATTGTACATCATACGGGTGCACTACTAGTTTACATTCAACTAATTTTATCAAACATGACTAGTTGGTCAAATCTGCTAAACTAATCCTTTCGGCAAAACAAATTACAGTTAATAGCTTATGTTAGCTAGTTCAATTGATCACAAATATAGTCCTTCCATCTACCCATCTAGCATTAGAAATTCTTTCTTTCTAAACAAATGTATCAACTATCACTTATGAATTAATAGTATGTACTTTGAAAATAATTTTTAATAACACCAACTATTTGAGTATATATAAAATAATGGAGCAACTTTTCAACTAGAAACCCAATCATATAAGACTTCAAAAGTTGATATCGAGCCATCAAATAAAGGATATTTCGAAATAGGATCACTCATTCAATATTTTGATATTATTTTTGATGAGTTAATGAAGTGATTAAATTTCTATTGCAAATTGCTCTGTATCATTTTTATTATATATTCAAATAGTTTGTATTATTATTAAAAATTAATCAAAATAAGTACTATCATTGATTTATATATGTGATAATTTGTATATCTAAAGTTAATTTTCCTCATTTATTTGAAATAATTATAGACGCCGTCTTATTTAAAGTTACTTTTCCTATGATAAAAAAAAGTTACTTTTCCTCATTCATTCCATATATCACTTTTTCCACAGTTGTGACACTCATAAACTCAATTGGTGCCATTTCTACATAAAAAATCAGCACTTGGATGCCATCATTTCTGAAAACATCTTACAATGGATCAAGTGAAACCAATTTTTACTATATGCCATAATCATTTGGAATATGTGGAAAATGAGGAACGCCTTACTTATCGATGATTAAAGTTACCACAAGTCAGAGGTCATTCTAAATATTCATAATGACTAGGGGAAAGTACGGAAAATGTACTTGTGGTTAGGCCCGTTTTCATATAAAGTCATGTGCTTCATTCTTTATCAAAGTGGTTCCTGTGTTTGAATACCGTTATCATAAGAGGGTCACGCCGTTAAAAACGTCTGAAAAAGACCATTAAAAGTAACTTCGATTTTCAAAAGTGTCCCGAAAATTAAAAGAAAAATACCGAAAGGTGCGCCTCGTCAAGATGATCTCCAAATCACCTTCGCCTTTGGGTTTTTTAGATCTGTTTGATTTTTTTAGAAACGATTTTGCTAATATCACTTTTCCGGTGGACTTTCTGGTGACAAGGGTGGCTGAAAAGAAAAAAGAAGATGGTCTAGGGGTCATCTTATTGAGGCGCATCTTCCGGTATTCTTCTTTTAATTTTTCGGGCACTTTTGAAAATCGAATTTACTTTTAACGATCTTTTTCAAACGTTTTTGACGTTGTGACCCTCTTGTGATAACGGAATTCAAATACATGAACTACTTTGATAAAGATTGAAACACATGACCCTATCTGAAAACGGACTCAACCACAAGTACATTTTCCGTACTTTCCCCTAATAACTATTATCAGTTTTCAAATGGAGAACAATAACTCCATTCGTCCTTCTATCAAGACATTGTTACTGCCCTAGAACTGGATGATCAGGATGTTTGCTTTCACTGTGTTAATTGTGTCACAAATGCTAAAATTATCCCATTTTGTATCCCATTTTGTACCCCTCGTATGTTTGTGGTTCACAAAAGCACTTCATTAATCCTTTCAACAACAAAAAAACACTTCATTAAAATGGAGCAATTAATTTAATTGGATTGGGCTTTTGTGAGCCACAAATATAGGGTGGGGTACCAAATGAGGTACATCTAACATTTCTCTAATTGTGTATCGGCCATATATATTGAAGTTGAACAATTGCGATTAATCAAATAATAATCATCATCTTAAAGTCAAAAGTTGAGATGGACAATTTTGAATTTTTTTGACTAAAAATCATTTAATGGTGCCGCAGTTGAATTTGGGGCGATTTCTTTGGAGGAACTTGGTTGACTGATTTTGTAAAAGAGATCAAAGCATGGATAAAATTATTGATCGAATGGGTACAATTTTGAAAACATGTATTTATAAGTAAATTTTAGTAATGAAATACACATATTTATACGGAGTATAAAAGATGATAGTGAGTTCGAGTTTATTGATCATAAATTAAATGGATAAAATTATTGAACAGTGCAATTTGAAAACCTGTACTTATAAGAAATTTTTACTAATGAAATATACGATAGTACATACGA